TACACACCTATCAAACACTAGTTAAGAGACAAAAAATGAATCAATAAATAAAGTTGTATTAAAATAATGATTGGTGCAGTTTCATGATTGGCAATTAAGTAAAACGGGTTAGAATAATAATCAGCCTGATACCAAATAAGTCCTAAGTGGTGAGCGTTTAACTCAAATATTATTGGCTGATTCACTCTTATCGATATAGATTAACAATCAATGTACCTAAAATATAGTTATAGTAGATAGTCGTGATAAAAAGTCATGTATTACAAGTTATGATCACTAAAGACATACTTATTATGAAAAAACCCTATTATACCGAGAATTTTAACCTGATAACAATTAAAAAAGTCAGAATATGTGGTACTATTATGAAAGATGAAATGAGAGCAGGGTTCGTACATTTGGATTCATATGGTTCTCAGTGTAGGGAATACCCTTAGAAACAATCTTAACGAGGGTCGCATGACTAGGAAACATTCTTCACCACCGCATGTACTATCATGAAAAATGGGCCGTGAATATCAGCGATTAACGTACTATGACGTAAAGTTCATATTTCATACTTGAATTCCCGAATAGTAACACATAATAAAAATAAAACATGAAGTAGAGAATATGAAATATTAAACAGAGGTTGTTCACTGATTGCATAACTTGTTCAACAGGTCAAAATCCACTCCAATGTACGCCAATCATAAAACGGCTAAATATAATTCAAACTACTGAATAACAATAAGTAGTTTGGTGTAAAGCAGGAAATATCGATTTTGCGTGAACCACTTTGAAAAAACAGTTGACCTTGTCCCTGAATTGAGAGGGAATAGTATCTCTATTACTTTCCTATAGTCTCAATAACAGCCAGATTTCCATTATTGGCTTACTAGATAAGTCCGGAAAGTCTGCCGCTGCCTTTTCCATTATTTTTCCTTTCGCTACCCACCACGACTCAAGATCATTAGGTAGGCATTTTATCAGCCAGCATCAAAGCTGCCTTCACTACTCGTTGTGTTTTTAGCCAGATTGGATGAGTTTCGAAGGAACTATTAGTTCAGTAAACATTGCTCGAGCTTACTGGTCTCTTAACCTTTAGTTTCAAGTTACTGGTAGATACCGCTGTTGTTTCCACAGCTGTTTGAATATCATGGCAGACTACTTCGAGGTGGATATCGCTTAAAACGTTGGCTAGTTCTTCTTCTAGTTGTACCTGAAATATATTCTTGACATTTTCATCATTAGACTTAACATCAAGGGTTTACTCGCTGTCAAATTTCTTCATCCAAGAAAACGCAGGAAAGTACGTGCTCGTACTAAAGAATGACTAAAGTCTAAACATGTGCTCTGGAACGAGTCAGTCTTCTACGGAGCCTCTCCAACGGTGGCTGAGGGTAATTTGGTCTATTCAAGTCCACAGTTGAGTCGATTATGGGGGTGGCTATATCAGATAGTGTTTTCCTTTATGTTTAAAGTCAAAACTTACTAGAAGCATATGGTCATCTGAGCATAGTTGTAGCAGATGGTCTTCATTGTCTGATACCTGAGTCACGATACTGTAAAATTCATCTAAGTTCCTTTCAGATAAATCAATGAGAAAATTTGAAATTTTTATCTAAAGTCTGTTTACTAACTAGTGTGATAAAATATCAAAAAATCAGTAAGTATCTGCACGAATGTTTAAAATGACTAAACGTTGAATGAACCTTTTATAATACTAATACTACTCGTACTCATGATAATAAAAATAATAATTGCATAATCACTTTACAATCAGTGTATTAAGTTATGTCTCCTTTGTAATAAGTTGCCATGTAATTATATACATGTACATCTTTTGGGAGTTCTATAAGCCTATGAAATGCTGACAACCCTACGTCGCGCTACAGTAAACTTCGAATATTTTATGATCCTTCATAGAAAATGAGTAAATAGTAAGTTGTAAGTAGGAATCTCTCTGTTTATAAGTAGTTTAAATTTCGCGTACAAGAGATTACTTTTGATAGTTACGTTCTCTGAGCTAGTGGAAAATCACTTCCATCAATTGTATGCAAACCAATTGAAGAATTGCAAAAAGTGGAAAATTCAAACATCATCTACAAGATAAACTGAGAAATATTACATCAGATAGAGTTATTACTCTCTTCGTCTTCAGGGACATAATTAATTATCATGAGCCAAAATGTCTCTTCACTCATTTCATTTATGAACATAGCTGCGGCTGGGAACAGAAAGAATAAAGAGATCAGAGAATTTTTAGAAAATTTTCAATCAAGTCAGACAAAAATCAGTGAAAATACATTGATATAGATCTTATTTCTTAACCAATCAGAAAAATTATAAGGAATTATAAAGTCAAAGGTCAATTCAAGGTGAAAGACAAAGTAAATGTACAGACAATGGCAGAACAAGAGCCAAAAACTACCAACCAAAATCATGGTTGATGGACCAGCATTGCAAAAAGAACACCAATTTGTAATTCGATGGAATAATCATATCGTAAATACTCATGTAAGTATTCTTTATTTAGGGAATTGATTGAAGTTAGACATGTAGACCGTTTAATACAGGATCAGTGTTCGGGAGTTAAGCGCTTTACGCGATATCTGAAGACTCAGAGACGAGCTCCTAATGTGGTCATAAATTCGTACTATGAGGGGGCCCATAGTAGGACAAAACAGCTATCCAGCGCTTTGGTGTAAACCACAAGATTTCTTATAGTTTCCCAAACAATTTTCAGAAAACTCGTCTGTAGATTGGTAAAGTGACATAATGAGACGACAATTAAGAAATCGTATAAACGAAGATTCTGATGTCAAAAAGATAAGATTGATCATTAAATTCGATGCAGTAGTAATGAAATGATTTAATTTGAACATATTTTCACTGTATCATAGCATAATGAACTTATTACTCCTATGTACTTGATAATAAATGAAACACGTGGTAATTTTATAAGAAAATTTGCCAAAAGTAAACTATACTGGAGACTTTGAGCGACTTATTAGCCAGTTAAAAAAGCAGTTTAGTTATCAAACAATTATAGTACAATATGACTAATTAACCCTTATATGTTGAATCAAAAGAAAAGTTTGTATTTTAGGAATCGTGTTAATGTTGTGAGTTAGGGTTTTAATCCAATAGAGTTTTAGTTATAAACAGATATCAGCTAAAATGTAGAAGAATTTGATTAGGACTTCGAGGTTGAGTTCAAGTTATAAGTTTGAATGACGAATTAGGGTTAGAGTTTACATCAATAACAGACATCAAATATGGTACAATGAAATTTAGCTACCCTTTTGTTGATAAAATTAAAAAAGTTAGGAGAATATCATTTAACTACATAAACAGCCTTGAATATTCATTGATTCATATTAAATATTTCAACAAAAAACCTACCTCAGGAGCAAGTATTTCTTTTAGTTTAGCTCAAACACTATACCATATTCTGTTTCGTTGTGCAATAGATATTTATTATCAATTTCAGTGGTCTTGAGTGCTGTTAGAGAAATGAGGGCGGTTTTCACCCCCCCCGGTTGCCCAAACCGTGGAAGATTTCTTCTGGAGGTACCTGAAGAGGAAGTTGGATTAGGTGAGGTCTTAGTGACCTGAGAGCGTTACCGCAGTGCCCACGAGATAACTGCTTGAGGTCGATCACACACGATCTTTTTATGGGTAATTTTTGTGCTAGCTCCGTACTTGTTGAGACCTTACTGTCAGAGATGGATATCCGTGGGATAAGGCGAGGTGTGCATTTCTAGGGTCGACATTTTCTAACCCCACCGCTCCTTGTGGGAAGGCAGCGTCACCGTCATGCTGGTTGTCTGAATGAAGCACCTTACTGCTGTCACACCTCTGTACAGTCAGCAGTATGACTTCGCCTTCGGACCTTGGGTTTGATGCTTTTAGTCATACCGTTCTTCAACCGACCTGTCTGACATGGTAGGACCTTGAGGAACAGTTGTTCCAACCAGTATAGCTCGGTTGCTTCATCACGATAGGCAAGCCCGACCACCACGTTAAGGTAGCAACAACGGTCGGGTCGTAAGCTACTAGCATTTTACCACAGATGCCTTAGTAATATTGCCAACATCTCCTGGGATCACCGGGTAAGTAATAGTGAGGTTAGACGCAGGGTATTAGAGAATGATGGTAAATCAGTCGATTAGGTTGTGAATCTTCATCGACTGAGATGGTTGGACGACGTGTTACGTATGCCCGAACACCGATTACCACGACGTGCAATGCTAACCGATGTTGAGGATGGTTGGAAGAAAGTTAGGGGCGGCCAAACCAAAACGTAGCATCAGTGTTTGAAGTCACTAACTTCTAGTCTGAGCCATGTTGGTAGATGCAGACTACTTGGTTGGGGTCCGCATGACTATCTTAACCAATGGTTGGAGACTCTTGGTGACGTGGCTCAGAATCGATCACAATGGTGTAGGTGTATACACTCTCTGTCTTCCCTTAAACTATGAGATTAAAATCACTTCATATCTTTCTTTCTACCAACTAATTCTTTCTTCTTGTACTATATCCTTATATGCAATCTTTCTTTTATATATTACCACCTCTGAATTAACTACTTTTATGAATCCGGTGTTCATCTTGTTGTGTTAATGAGATATGGCAACTTGGACCGATGTATATATGTGCCTAGTCCTACGTTTTAGCTGACTGACTGACTGACTGATTATCAAGTTCAATGATTTTAGAAACTTAATACCGACCATTTTCAACTTAGTTCATTAAATATACAAGCTATCTTACATTGAGTTTTTGATTTCGGGTAAAAAAACAACAGAACTCTATGAGGTACCACCTTAATTCTGATTGGTTTATTCAAGGTTGACATTATTTTTTACCAAGATTTTCATTAAACATACTAACAATATTTCTGATTGGTTTAAACATTAATATTGTTTTTTCGTTGCTTAGCACTGATACATTTTCTTAGAACAAATAATAAAAAAACTAGTTGATAAGATGATCATTATTTGAAATTATTGAAAATGACTAGAAGTACAATTAATACAGATGAAAGTTATATAGCATATCTTACAGAACGTATGTTCATATAATTATTTTATTGAAGTTTTCTATGTTTTATAATTAATTATATATCAGATTATTTAAATATTATTGTACCATACTTTTAGTCCTGGGTTCGAATCCCGTGAGCGGGATCGTGGATGCGCACTGCTGACCAGTCCTACAATAGGATGAAACAGTCATCCAGTGCTTCTAAGTTTTCAATGGTGGTCTAACTTCAATCGGTTCATGATCTCAATCAAAATTAATTTATATTCTAAACAAGTTTATGGCAATATTACTGATTTGTGTAGTTAAATAAATATGAAACTTTTCAACACTACTGTAGATAGTAGATGTAATATCACTTACGTTTGTTACCTCTTGTGAAGGACATAGGCTATCTACCGGAATTCTCCTAGGATGTACATTCCAGTTTGTTCTCTGCTATAGTGAACTGTTACTTATGGTATGCAGCCAATGTACATTGAGTATCCTGCCTAGGCAATTGTTCATAAATACCTTGCACGTTTTTGATGATGGTTACGGAAGTTCCCCAAGTTCCAGTTCCGTACATTAGAACTGTCTTAACGTTCTCACTGGAGGTTTTGATATTGATGTTGACTGTTAGTTGTACTGAGTTCCATATGTTCTTGAACTATAAGAATGCCATCCTTGCTTTATCAATCCTTGCCTTCACATCTGCATCAGATCCTTCTTGCTCATCGATGATGTCGCATCTTTCAGCGTTTCTCCATCATGTGTGATTAAATTGGTGTTCTCTGCGTTTATATTCCTAATCTTACTCTATTCTCTGTGGAGTAAGAATAAACCCGGGTTCCACAGGTGGATAGCTGTGTCTCAGAATAGGACTCTTTAGCAGCCCACATCAACGACCCCACACTTAAGACCTTTTCTCCCTCTTTTGAACGTTTAGCGTTCAAACCGACAACCAGTAGTGTATATATCAAACGACGATCGATTTGCAATATCGTGAATTCAAAATACTTATCGTGCAACTGATGTTTTATTAAATTACTGTTGAAAAGTCGAATTATCAATATAAAATTGAGGTAACGAGATTAGGTAAATAATGACCAAATCAAGTTTTCCGACACTGGATGAATAATTGATTATATGTATGTTTTTATGTCTACGAAATAAATGTGTCATATTATGTACAAGGTCCAACCAGAATAAATCGTTTATGGCACAGCAAGTGGTTAATCATGAACAAAAAACGAAGGCCTAAAGTTATATATATACACTATTACTCACTTAAATAATGAACAACGTGCGTCAATGTATGGTATTTTTATAATACTTGTTTAGAAACGTGATAAACTTTGGAACTGAGACAGCGTCAAGTAAAATATGTAGCTATTTAACTTACTCATTTGTGTACGAAAGTCACTCAATCCTATGACTCCTTAGCTAGTTTAAGTACAACTTGGTGGCACTTCCGATCCATCAATGCTGATTAAATAATGACTAAATATTCACCAGGCAAAAGAAAGAAAGAACAAAGGAAGCAAACTACTACCAATCTATAATAAATGACGCCCACTTAACCCAGTTATTTTAATTATCAGAATTGTTCACTGTTGATTTAGACAAGTTGACGATATGGTCTTTTGCCCGATCCTTGATGAGGCTATTAGTACGGTGACGTAGTTGCCCATTGCTGAAATATCTCAAGATTTCAATGCAAAAATTGTCAGCGAATTATCATGAAATAAATACAGCACTGAACACATAATTATTTCGAATCTTAAACATTACCAAAATACTTTACGCCTTTTCCCACTACAGTTATTAAAAAAAGTTCATGATAGATGACCAAAAGTTAGCATAGTATTTGTAAGATATAAAGCCAGAGATAATTGCTACATTCCGAGGTTATCCATGTCTTGTACTGATGTATACGACTCCCATATGCGAGCTTACCTACTTAGGTGATAGAATCAAGAGTAGGGAGTTTTTGATACCTAACCGGATTGAAAAAATAGGCATAAACCATCCATAAATATGTGTCTATCTCCCACAGAATATTAAGCCAACAGTTTGTCCATTTCCTGCGGAACTTAAGCCAGATCTTCACCAATAAAAAACTCCCGTCAACAACTGTTGCTTAGCATTTGGTCCAGCCCAGCATATTTCATTTCCTTCTTGAAAAAAACGTGTACGGTTTTTGAATTAAGCTGTAAAAATCAATGAGTGGATATATATTAGGTAATAAAAACAATTACAGAATTGGATATCACTCTGTCTAGCTCAATAATGCTCACTAACCGTCAAGATACATAAAGAGTGCTTTTAAAACAAATACAACACGAATAAATTATAGACACCGATTGTCAATTTAAAAAACAGTTAGTGATCAGTCATATTTTGTCAATGGAGAGTAAAGGCCCTCAAACGCCCTGTTATGGCCGAGAGTGGGGTGGGCCCGCCCTCCCTCTCGAAATGCTCACACACGGCCACGCGTATACAGCCTCTGCCAGGGAAGTCCTACTCACTGCCTTCTCGTAGAGGGGGTGTTGTCCGGCGCTTTAACCAAACCAATGGTGAACATGGGCTGGCTCCAGTATCCTGAAGGAACAAATGGCGTATGAACCAATCATTGGTCACCGGCTACTGTGGGACTCCATCTCCTTACGATGCTCCACTGCCTTGTGGGTCAGACCTTCAGGTCAAAGGATCGGGGTGTGGCCCACTAAGAAAACCACATGCTTCAGCCTGAGCCCCCGAGAAGTATCACAGCCCTTATACAAACCGAAAGGTTTATGTGGCGCATATCTATTTGGTGCCTCCTTGTACCAATGTCTATGTTTAAATAAATAAATATAGCTTTAAAAATAATCCTAGAATCGTTAGTGATAATAATCAACTAAACACACTACACAAACAAAACTTCTCTGTTATAGATTATCACTTTAACTTATGTATTATTTATGGAACTTACACTTTATTTTCATTTTACGATTCATAACTGTTTTAAATGACCTAATTCTATGTGATATATTATGATTCTAAATTTTATGGTTGGTAACTTCAAATGATTACTCCCGACAAACATGGGAACCATTTTCATAGGATAGATAGATTTAAAATCAACAAAACGTTTAGTAATATGTGACAACTATTAGCAGTTGTAAAGGTTTGAATTTTTTAATTGTTGATATTCAGGGCTGCTTTTTCCGAATCAGTGGTCGATAACATTATAGCATTTGAAGCAATAGACACATGTATACATTAACGTTATGATGCCGGTACGTGAGAATTCCTATACAAGATGAAACCCGCACTTTATATACCATCGTTAGTCTTGATAAACTTCAGTTTATAGAGAGAAACAGCAAATTGGTAGACTTCAATACATTTGATAAATACTTTCTAAAGCAAATGTTAAGAGTAATATGACTATCTTTTTGTTTATCTTAAAAGCTAGTAAACTACTATTTCTGATATACTAATATTCGCTTTCTCTTGTGTTTATCCTTTCAACAAGAACAAATCGGTGAATTATACCAACCACCTACAGACCATCAATATGTTCCACACTTCTATACAACTCGAACAGGTTTAGAATGTCGCCGTTATTTTTGTGAAGTTTGTGGTCCACTTGCTAAATCTAATTTAAAAACTGGCTCACCGAATGTTAAATATACTGGAGCACTACAACGTCAATTAGATTGGATTGCAGGTACTACATTACCAGATGCTTTAACACGATCACATGAAGCAATGATGTACTATAGTGATCATAAACATTGAGTTGTTACGCAGTAATAGCAATCAAAATATGAATGTATGATTGATATCCGTCAGTATGAACATAAGTGTATCAATTAAATACCCATTTTCTTCGAGTAAACACACAGGATTTACAGGAACATTTACTCTGAAAAAACTTTCCTTGTAATTTTAGTTTTAGCCTAATTTTATTTGCAATGCTTAAACAAATTATTCAATACCACAAGGTTAAAAAACATAAAAATGGGTTATGTCCCGTAAACTATTTTTACTTAAGCAATGAGGTAATGTATACAAGGCCTAATCAAGTATTTACCACTGATGTGAGTATAGATACAAGCACAATATTGCAAAATACATCTTTCATGCAGGGCTTTCAAATGCAACTCTGATAAGAGTAGATAACTTTAATAGTTTTCAGGTAAGTCCAGAACTGTCTACAGAAAAACAGAAACTGTCTTTATGATTTTTTTTCTATTTTTCCCTTTGATTAATACAGATTTAAATACTCCTTATAATACAACGAAATCAATTTAATAACAAATTTTCAACTGCAAGTCATTTGAATGTTATTTAATGACAACGTAGCTTGAGATGCACTTTTATTCTGATCTCAAGAGAGTTTTTTTAATTTATTTTAACAAATAGATACTGGTACAACGGGGCACCAAATAAATATGCGCCACACAAATCTCATTTGATATGTGTGAGGGCTGTGATACTACCTGAGTGCCAAAACCGAAGCACGTAGTTTTCTTAGTGGGCCACACCCAGGGCCTTCGACCTGAATGTCTGATCCACAAGGCAGTGGAGCATCGTAAGGAGATGCAGTCCCATGGTAGTTGGTCAACAACGATTGGTTCATACGCCATTTGTTGTTTCAGGATACTGGAGACCATGTGCACCATTGATTTGAAATCAGGGTTTTCCAACTCCCCTAGGTGGATTCTGTGTGTCCATCAACCCGGTTAAAGCTTCGGACATTCGCTTTTCATCCTCTAAATTTAGTAAACAACACCCGTGTTGCGAGATGGCAGTGAGTAGGACTTTCCTGGCAGAGGCTATATACGCGTGACCATGTGAGAGCATTTGGAGAGGGCGAGCAGACTCTCCTCACTCTCGGTCGTACCAGGACATTTGGAGGCATAACGAATGCGAAATGTAAGTAACAAGGAGAGTTAAATCTAGAATTTAAATCTGGTATTCATTGAAAGTCTTCCTTAAACAGAAAGCCAATTATTCTTATTTCTAAGGTTGATGAAAAAGTTGTAAACACGTACATTTTTATTTCAAAAAAAAGACAACCGTTATAGCAACAATGCAGAATAGATTAGAAGAAACTATTCAGGTCTCCATTCATCATTTTCCGGTAGTTGATTGAAATATGATTGAATTTGATTCATATCTACTGAGGTAAGATTATTTGGATTCCATTTTGGTGTGTTATCTTTATCAATAAGACAAGCACGAACACCTTCATAGAAATCAGGATTTTTAATCATTTTCTGTGATAGGCGATATTCCATTTTAAATTCATCACTAAACGATAATTTAGAACCAATCTGTAATTGACGTAAAGTGACCTTAAAAATCAAAATTGTTAGTGACAACATAATGATATTAATAAATAAGGATTTGTTGTAAAGAAACAATTAAATCGTTATACATAAATGAGGTAAGCTTGTAATCCTTAGTATCTCAAGTTAAGTATCAGAAACATACATATTAGAAAAACTGGTTTAGTCAGTGTTGGTTTTCAAGGCTTTAATATACTGCATGTACCATATATCTACTTGGCATATTCTAATATGCCACCACGGTAGAACTAAAGAGTCACAATGAATTCATAAATTACATTAAATTAAAGCTTTCTCTGAAACAACCAACGTGCTACCAAACGCGTTAGTTTGATTAAAAGAAAATCATCCATTTGATTTTGACACAAAGATATGTCTACATAACAGAATGCATTGATTTTGGTTTCTCTGTCGAAAAGTTACCTCGTGAAGCCATGACTTGTACCGAGGAACATGTAAGACACATAAAACGACCTAATAATCCTACAGAGATTGAAAATCTACAAATCAAATAAGAAATAGCAGTACATGCAATTTTCAATAATCATCAATAGGACATAAATACTATCAAAATAACTTGAAAAGTTTATTGTTTAACTTTTAAAGAAAATCTAGTGACTGAAGCTTTCGATATACTGGAAAACACTACTGCACTCAATATAAAGAAAAGTATAGCTATCAATTTGTTTTGTTTAAACTGACATAAATTCAATTCTTTGAAGCGACTTACAATAAGCTACGAAACATTAGAAATCAGATTTTCTACTGATTGGATATGATAAATTTATATTTATTTCAACCTACTAATGCTTCGATTATTTGGATCTATCATGAAAAACCATGGTAATGATATTATTTGAGGTCGGTTGTAAGCACGGATTCTTATTTGAGAAAAAACAGTATAATGCCTGGATATTTCAAATAACTCAATAGTATTGTTTAATATAACTCTACTTGCAAAGAACTCTTTGAAAGAACTATAGATATCATGTGTCAATGTTCTCATTAAATTCAAGTGAATGATAGTAAAGACAAACATAAAAGTTAAGGTCTAGAAATAGAAGGATGTTACAGATTGGAAGAGCAATCTGAATAGTGAATGAGTTCATTGTAATATACAAGATCTAACACCATATCACTATATTTTTCTTTCACAAGAATACCATGATGTCTACCATTTATAAACAAACCCCAAAATTAACGGTCAAAGATTAACTAACTATCTATCTATTTGATACACTATGACTTCTCCTAAAGAAATATTAAACAAATCAAATATAAATAACCCAAACATTAATAGACAAGATAGAATGAAAAATCAAACCATACTTTTAATGAAGTAGGTGAACAACTCAATAATTTGTCATAAGTTTCTTTAGCCCAATGAATGACTTTCTCATGATTTTCTATATTCTGATAACATTTAGATAATTTTATAAGGATATCTTCCATAGTGACTGGAATCTCATGATCACCGCCATCATCATTATTCTTATAAAAGCAAAATATTTTTGACAAATCGTCTAAAATATATAGGAGATCATTTGATACTGAAGAATGGTAATAACTAGGCACATTACTACTAAATTGATTTATTACTTTGTCAATGGCGTAATCAAATTCTGGTTTATCATCTGGACTACATGTAGATTTTAATTCAAGATTCATTAGTACATTTTTGAAGTTTGATAACTATAAAAAAAACGAATAGTGTGTAAAAACAATGACTAGTGATTTTTTGTAAATAAATGTTTACTCACCAAAAGATAGCGGAAAATCGAGATATCATGTTTAACTTATTCAGTATCGCTTAGATGTAGTTTGTTGCTTGACGCTACTAGTACAGCTTTGAAAACACGTTGTTTAACTTTGTATATATAACCTAGAAAGCTAATTCATAAGTCAAATAATTTCTTATAGGGTCAAGGTTGTGCACACAAGCGACTCATTAGCTGAGAATCCAAAAGATATCTTTAACATTACTGTATTTAAGGATTTGTGACAAGTTGACATGAGGCTTTCTGTGAATAATTTTTAAACGTGTAATATGATCCACGAACAGTAATAAAGATTGAGTAGGATGCACCATATCTCTTGAAATGGACCTATGGCTTCGCACACATATATTCGTCGTCAAAAAGCTGTTTTTGTTACCTGTATACAGAAGATGGTGTTTGGTATGTCATAGTAATTATGTATGAATCAGAAACTACGTCTGTACCTTTCGACAGTGATAAGAAAACAGTAAAGCTTGAATTCTTCCGGACAGAAGTAAACACGAATACTAGTAAGTTTATAAGTGTTGTCATGTTTCTCGCTCAAACAAGATAATTTTTTCCATCGTAGTGGATGTAGTAAAAACAATACACAACTATATGGTAAGTAGTAGGAAAATCAGAGCACAGTTCTTACCATGGTCAGTTAATAGTAATGTAGTGAACGAAGATTTGGTGGGGAAGATCAAATTAATGCAAAGTTACTGTCTTCACAAAATTTGAAAACTAAATGTTAAATACTTTATTTGCACATCTTCCATAAGTCATCCTTTACAAACTTCATCGTTCCTTGTTACTGTTGTTGTTACAATTACTCCCTGTTTACATTCTTCTTCTCTTCAATTTGATCTCAATCTTCTGTTGCCAGGCATTTCACTTTCGATTGGTTACATACTACTTATATATGTCAACATAAGTAGCATAAACTACAGTATGATAGATAAAAATTTCATTCATCAGAATATTACTGAGCAAAATAAAGCTTTGGTTTAGTTTATACTGAATTGGAGTCATTCCTTGTACCATCAAAAATTGGAAAATCGTGGATAGTTTGTCATATATTCTAGAAATAGTTGGTAGCATGCAACTATAACTGTTCTCCGAAAGAATCTTATAAAACACTCAGGGTACATGCATAAATTTTCAAAAATGTCCAGTTTATTTTAAATGGGTGATACTTGCAAGTCAAAGGGTAGTATGGTTTATTATGTTTTTAGAAGTGTCACTACCGTTAAAAAAACACATCTATTTTGATAAGCTACTACTTCTAATCAGATAGCCTTTATTAGTAGGTTATAAATGCTTAGTGAACATTTGATCAAAAACCATTGGAAATGAGAGAGAACTGAATACTCGCACCCTATTGGAAAGACGCGATCATAAGATAGTACGAAAAACCATAGATTCAGTGCTTGTCACGAGCACGGTAGCACTTAGCCACTAAGACAGAATTTATTGATTCGCAGTTTCCAAATCCACTCAATTCATAACATACTGCAGTGAGTAGCTGTTAGATCACTAGTTTTGGAAAAAGTAGTGGCTGTTTTGGCTTTTCGAAAAAAATTATATATATCTCATAAACATGAAATGTAAATCAAAGACTCAGACAACAAATACATTATGTTTTCAAAACTAATAATTAAAACAATATGAAAAGATTAAACCATCAACTAACATCTTTAGAATGAATAAAATGTGTAGCAATACCGGCCCATACAGTATTCATACTAGATAATTTATATCCAGTTAGTGCTAAAAATAAACCAAGTCCTGGATGAGGAAGTCGTGGTAGGAAATAGCCACCACCAACATCAGGAAAAAAACCAATCATTGTTTCAGGCATAGC